TCTCTTTTCTCAGGTGGTACTCACCGCAGGCATCCACTACCCTGGTTACTCTCACATGTTAGTTTTACCTGTTTGCAAACTTTATATACATGGAGTCACATGCTATATAATCTTTGTTTCTGTATTCTTAATTTCAACTTTACTTTTCAAAATTCACCTATATTACTTGGCAAACTAATAGTTTGTTCAGTTTCATTGCTGTGAAGTACTGTATTATATAAATATGATACAATTTATATGGTCTTATTACTATTTGATGAACGTCACTCCCACTGTTTGGCCACTATTAATAGTGCTGCTATGAAAATCCATTTGGTGGGTAGTCATATACCCACAGTTTTTGTTAAATATATGCATAGGTTAGAATCAAGGTATAATGTATGTATTTGTCCAGTAACAGTTATTATTCTTCTTCCTTTCTCCTCTCCTCCCCTTCTCTCCCCTTCCTTTTTTCTCTTTCCCTTCCCTTCTCGTCCTTTCCCCTCTCTTCTCTCCCTTTTGTTTTCAGTCCTTGGAATTAAACTCAGGGTCAAGCACTCTAATACTGAACTAGAGCCCCAGTCCTAGGCACTGTTTTCAAGGTGACTGCCTTTGAATACGTTCCCAGATTCCAACATCAGATATAATACGGTAAAAATTTAAGAATTAACAAAACCAGGGCCGGGGATTTAGCTCAGTGGCTTAAATGCTTGCCTGGCAAGCACAAAGTCATGAGTTCGATCCCTGGTTAAAAAAAAAAAAAAGAATTAATAAAACCATTAAATTAGGGTATAGCAATTTCCTTTACTAGAAAATTTTTTTGTTTTACCAGAAGACTTAAAAGTAAGTTTATTTCATATATTTAAAGATGTTTCCAAGTTCCCACATAATTTCTAAGAATGTACATTTCACAGAACAAACAATTTGCAAGACAAATTTTCCTTTTCTTGGTTCTGCAAGTAGAAATCTTTAAAAGTGAAATCAGAGAGCATAAGATCATATTATTTAGTCATTACTAAATCAAAATTAGAAATGTCAATTATTATTATTATTTTGGCACACTAAGTGGTCTACATGAGTCACAGAGAGCAAATAACTTCTTAGTGGCCCAATTTTCCAGATGTACCAAAATGAACCAGAATTTAGTCACATAATACAAGAGCATATTCCTTGATTTTGCCATGTTGTGTCACTGATTTCTCTTCTTACTCCCAGCGTCAGTTGTGCCTGGGAGTAGATGTCAGCCTTCATAGTAATTCCTAGGGATCTGAGGACCACCTGCCTCTTCTCCGCTCAATGGACTCTGCATATCGGAATCTGGGGAGCAAGAATCTGAGAGGTGAAAACTGGTCAAGGAGTCTTTACTCTTTTACTCTGCCATGTGCTTCAGTCTTGATATGTTTCACAATCCGGGTCCTACTTCCTTATATTTAACGCCAATTTCTCCTAAATTCTGGTTTTAGGTTACTATTAATCGTAGCTTTTTCACCCTTAGTCAGTGCGACCATCCAAACTTTCTTGCTAAGTGCTCATGTATTTATTGGGAAGTCGGCGGAGGCTGTGCTGGGAGCTACTCACCATGCATCACTGGGAACTTGTCTAATGTATGTTTACTCCCCGAGATACCTGTTTATTACTAACTTATCCTGGTTGAATGTCACAGTTTAAGTTTGGTCAAAACATGTTGGTTTCAAATTCTTGTACTCTGATCTCTCTGAGATCTTTGCAGGATCATGCTGAGTCACTCACCAGAGGCATTGTGGAGTTTGCTGATTACAAGTAATCTTCATAAAATCTTTCCTAGCATAAAGGATAGGTTCAGAGGATGGGCTGGTAATGGCTAAAGAAGCAGCTTACAACTTGCTTCCTTGGATGGGTTTCCCACTTACCATACTGTATTTCTCCTTTTGAATATTTGTCATAATTGTGATTAAATGATTGTCCAAGTAATTATATTTAATGATCACCTATCTCTTTTAATGCAAATTCAATGAGCATAAAGGCTGCATCTGTCTCTTTCATTTTGGATCTCCAGAATGTAACACAGAGCTCAAAAATATGACACTAAGGGACGTATTAAGTATGTAATGCAAATATGTACTAATAAAAGTAAAAATTGAAAAAATATGAATCAGTGGCACACAGAAAGACTACCATTGTTCCAATCCACTCCCATACCATGCCAAAAAGGAATTTTCGCCTGAGGGGGGAAAAAACTCGACTAGTACGTAGTATAAATGGGTCCTTTTAAAAGTTCTGACTTTGTAAATGAGGAATGATCAGGTAAACTTTGACCAAATGAATTACTGTGTATTCAAGAAATGTAATGTTATGCTCCAATTCTGGGATAAGCAATGCTTAGAGATGCCCAAGCATAAAACAAATCACAATTTACTTTGAATATATTTCATTTTATGTAAAAAATGATACAGCCATCATATGTGCAAAGGTATGGACAGCTATTTTGAAGAGAACAGGAGACATTATGGTGGCCATTGTTGATTTCCCTGCTGTCTGGTTTTGAAGGCCTTTAATGCTTTCATTCTTTTGTTTTTATTGGGTCTACACTATTTTGTCTTGTTTGAATTCATTATGTGTGAAGATATGGACAACTATTTTGAAGAAAACAAGAGACACTATGATGGCCAGTGTTGATTTCCCACTGCTTTGTTTTGAAATCCTGTGTTGCTTGCGTTGTTTTGTTCTGATCTGCTTTGTTCTGTTTTGTATTATCCTCTTTTTTAAACTTTTTATTTAAAGAGAAAAAAACAAAACAGAAAAAGGGTAGAAATAATACATAATTTACAAAAAAACAGTAAGAAATCATAATTGATAAACTACATATTGTCTTCTTAGAAATAGTTGTTCAAGTTACAAAAGTAAAGCATACGAAGTGGACATTCAAATACCAAGACTGCAAACAGTTCTGTTCAACTATCCAACAAAACTTAGTAATACGATTATCAATCCTATACACTTAAACATACATGCAGTTGTATATTTTAGAGCACTTTCTTTTCCTCTCTGTTTTATTCTCTTTAAAATAAAAAATAAAGTTATCAAGATTGAGTCTAACCTCAAAAATATTTGTAAAGTCATTTTCAAAGAACTAAAATGTAACTTAAAGCAATAGTATTAGTCACTCGTGCTTGCACAAACTTCTGGATATACCGATCTTTGTATGAGGATCGTCAGTCATATAAAACAATTGTGTGCTCTTTCCAAACATTCTCAAATAATGGTCTAATGTCTTAAATCATGAGAAGTACCTCTCTCTAGTCACTAAAGTAAGCATCTCCATTTGGCTTGCTGTATGTTTAGTCTATTTCTTCTTGGCAAAAATATTTTAGCGTAAGTGTCCGAGCATAAGGCTGACAAAATGTTTTCTTTCCTACTCATTTGTGTGGTCTTGTTTAATAAAAATAATATATATGTGTGTATATATATATTTATATATAGAGAGGGTCAGAGTTGTTTCAGAGAAATGTGTATATCTGTGTAGCAGTTTACTTAGGTGGGTTCTATATAAGAATACAAAAGAGCATTTTTACTGTCATCTACTATTCTTGTTAGTTAATAATGATTTTCCCTTATTTTATTTAGAAATAAAAATCATACAATCACAAAGACATAATTGTAGCTTTTAGGAATAATTTTAATTATTATGCTTCAGCATTGTGTGCTCACCATTTAAGAATACACAGTGTGGATTTGTTTCTATTTTTTTCTTTTTTGCAACTTTGGGCAGGACAACTGCATTCCTATCATGTTATTTTTATTAGTACACAGCATGAAAACTAATCTTTATTTGGGAAGCATACACTGAACTGTTCTTGTGTACAGATATTTTGCTAAAGTGTATTAAGGACTTCATGATATTGCAATCACATGGAATGATTATATGTCGCCAGAAGCACTATGTGTGTCAGCTATTGCAGTAGATGGTTGAGATTTGTGAGCGGTACGTAGAGAAGAGTATCTCTAGAAGAGAGTATGTTTTAGAGCTTAAACCTAACATGGAACTAAAGAGGAGTAGATTTAAATAAAATAAATCAATGAAGAATGTCACTGATGTTCAAGAAACAACACAAGCCAGGATGTTGAGCTGAGAGTGGTTTACAGCACCCAGTTGGAGCTACAGTGAGGCTGTCCATGAGAGTGGATCCATTTCAGGGGATTTTAAGAGCCAGGCTTACGAATCTGAATTCTAGTTTTTAGAACCTAAAGGTGACATCTTTTAAAAGGGAAAAAAGTGGTGGAATTTATTTACATTTGGAAACAACATATAAGATAGAAAATAATAGGATGAATAGGAGGTAAAGGCAGAAACGTACAGAGTATGTAACAGCAGTAAGAATATTAGGGTTATAGTTGGAGAAGTAGATAGAGGTGGCCTTTCTCGTCTTTTATTTCTTCATATCTTGTGCTCTTAGATGTTTTTTAAAAACAGTTTTTTTTTTTTTTTCATAGAGGAAATAGGAGACTGATGGGGCTAGAGAGGCTGACGAATCAGCCTTCTTTCTTGTGGTTGATGAATTTGACTGTGGTCATTTTGATGTGGGAGGGAAGTCTGGGGTCCAAATTAAAATGTTCTTGAGACAGACGGGAGACCTGAGTTAAAACTGCACAAACAGACATAATGGGGACACATCTGAATTATCAGCATACGAGGAATGTTTAAAGTTGTAATGCTAAAGTTCAGAAACTTTAGATAGTGGGCCAAATTAGCTTTGGGGAATTTATCCAGTTAGTAACTGGAAGGAGGAAAAGAAATGAGTAGCGGAAGACAAAAGCAACTCCTAATATCCATCAAGCACAATGTCAGCAACTCTGAGCGCTGGAATTCATTGCCCCATGATTCTTAAAGGTCAGGTTTGAACACTGTAAAAATACCTTTAAATCGCCACAAAGAGAGTGATTCAGCTTTCAGTGGGAGGCACTGTTGAGTAGAAAAGTGTGAACTCAGTGTAGATATGAGTCAATGATTACACGTTCTTAGTTTAAGAAACTTGGCAAGGACATGGAGAGAGGCATGACTGTAATTAGACAAAAGAGCAGGACCAAGAGTTTAAAATGAGTAAACACATGAAATATGCAAGATGTCGAGATTTAGACCAGCGAAGGGAGCTTCTGAAGATGACAGAGATTGCTGGAGTCTGTGCGCTAGCTGTGCAAAAGACTATCTTCCTGAGAGAGCAATGAAATTTATTTCATGAGATTTGGGAAGAGAATCTGAATCAGGGTAGGTGAAAGGAACTAAAACATGACCTGACTGCCTTGGCCTTGCGTGTGTGTGTATGTGTGTGTGTGTGTGTGTGTGTGTGTGTGTGTGTGTGCTTCAGGAAAATAAAGCCAGGAATTTGCTGGCAAGAATAGAATGGAGGAGTGAGAGGGATAGAAGTGTTTATATAGTAGAGTCTTATATTATCAGCCGTACATTTAATTTATGTGAGAATTACCCAGTATGCTATGGAGAAAATGCAAGGATATAAGTGCTATCAGTTTTGCATGGATAATTTATTGAATTTGTTTTCCATGTAAAGTATAATTTTTTTTTAACATTTTCTCTAGTCACAAGATAAAAATATCTAATGTGTTCTGGACAGTGGACTCAGAGATGTGCGCTCAGATCCTTCTCTTGGAACAAAGGATCCATTTCCCCAGCTGCTAGGATGCTGCCGGATGGCATTTTCGGGACTTCTGCCTATTTTGGAGATTGTTGTGGCTGCAGAAATCTGTCTGTCTCCAAGATCAAGGGCCCCTCCTGGTGGTCTAGACCCAGGTATTATCAATGAAATGTGGAAAGACTTGAACAGGTCTCCCTAGCATGGAAGAAATCTGAAGGTTTGAACTCAAAGGCTTTCCGGAGGGTCTGCTGAATTCTTTGTTAATATTATCTGCTGGTGTCCCTTTCATTCAGCAGGTGCTCCTGAACCTTTGCTCACCAGACTTTATGGTGATCTACATTTCACTGTCTGATTTTCTGGAAGACATTGTCCTGGGTGCTGTAGAGGCTGCTTCCAGGTAGTCATCAAATGTCAGTGTCCTTTAGAACTTGTCACAGTTCAAGAAAGTTTTCTTCACTGAGTCAGTCTCTTTCCAAGAACAGCCCATGTGCATCGGCTGACCAATGGGTGTCATCTTCATTGCCATGTGGGTAATCTAGGCAGACCAGGCCACACTGAAAGCCTCCCATGACTTTACTCAGCCTCCCTTGCTCCCAATTCCACTTCTGCTTCCTTTCCTTTCCCCAGGGCGTGCCTGAGTCCACCTTTTGTCTGCTGAGGGCCACCTGACAGTCTTTGCCTGTGCCATCTTGCTAATCCACCTTAGTTTTTTACTCCAATTTTTACCTTAACAATGTACTCCAGTAAGCATCTATTTCATGTGACTTTCTGGGGGAAACAAATGGCTGTTAGTATTATCTTATTGCTTTTCACAAAGTTGTTTTTCTCTTAGTGTTCATGGTTTAAAGTTTTTAAAAGCCCATTGATGATGTCCCTGATTCAGAATGGCGTAATGCTTTGCTTCATTGATTTCAATTATCAAAGACTCCCATTTTATACTTTTTGATCTTCCTTTTAGTAAATTAAATTTTTGACTTACTGATAGGTCCACAGAATATCAGCTAACACATGTGCCTATTATATCTTGAACACAATTCCTATAGTCCTTCTACTGAACAACAAACCAACAGCTCTGTAACACTGGTAATTTTATCTGAGTCTGGCAGAGATTATCTACTTCCTTATTACTAATGATCAGTTTCTCTGAAGAAGAGCATGAGGTTACTTCGTTAAACACTATTGTCTTAGATACTTTTCTTTCATTGTTAAGACAAAATATTTTATGCCCAAAATTAAGGAAAGAAAGATTTATTTAGCTCACCACTTGTGGAGGTTTCAGTCCATATTTGGCTGGCTCCAAGGCCAGGTGGCACAAGGCAAGTGGCAATAACTCATGGTGGCCAGAAGACAGCAAAAATAACAAGAGCAAAAAAGGAAGCACATAGAAGAAAATATTTTCTATCCCTTATATTTTATGTAGGCCACACCTACCCTAGAGTGAGTGTAACATTCACACTCATAATGCTAGCACTGGATCATGAATTAAGTACAAATTCTAGAAGTTGCCCTCATGAGTGCATGAAGTTTTGAGGGGACATCCAGACACAACTGTAACAATAATATTTCCTGTTCTCTTTTATGTGGCCACATGACTACATCCTGGGCATTTGGAATATGATTGAGAATGACACATGGAAGGACAATTTCTCATGGATGGATATGGTCACACTGGCAGGAGCTAGAAGAGTCACCTTGAAGCACATGGATGATAGCAGAACAAGATAGATGGAGCCTGGCTTCCAAAACAGACCACCAAATCAGCCAAGACTTTTGCGTGGGAAGGAAAATACATCTATATTATTGGAGGCATTATTATGTTGGGTCTCTATTACAGCAACCAAATCAATCTCTTAATCCTGAAGGAATATACATATCTGAAGGATGTTTCCTAATGTGATGTTCATGCAATCAGTCAATTAGTTACTTTCCAATAGATTGGGGGATATATGAGTTCTTCTACAGTTATGTTTGTTAACCTGAGGTAGCTGGGCTTCTATGAGGAAGTGATGGTATCCTTGACAGCTCAAGAATATACAGGACCAGTATGACATTTCTGCAAGTATTGGCTTTCCTCCAAGTTCAATAAAAATGAAATTTCAAAATTTTCCTAATGTAAATTAGTTAAATCATTTTGATGTTTATGTAGATATGATTTACAGTATACTTCACATTTCATATAATATTTTAACAAAATGCAAACTTAGAGACATTAATGCTTCAGGTACTTTGCTTTTTGTGTGTTTTCTAGCCAAGAATGGTCTCAAGTTCTTAATCTCTCTGCTGGAAATTCTGGAGAAATTTTTGAGAAATACTTGTCTATGTAGGTATTCTGTCTCAAAGTCAGGAGCTTTCAAGCTGGTTCTAAATGATCTTTTTCTTATTTACATTAGCTTTTAATTTCTTTCCCCTGTGAGTCATTGTAACATTTGTTAAACCAATGCTTTACTACTTTGGAAATACTGTATTTTAGCAACTTTACAACCAAACTTTTGTTATTTTTCTTGAGTTTATTCTTTGAATTTTTTGAATGGTCTTATTCTGATTTTCACAAGAGGCTTTATTTATTCCAGCTCAGTAGTTATACATGGCTGGGTCTGGCTCACACAGGGGAAGCCAATTTATTGTTTTTGGCTGTCCTTTTCCATCTTTGTTATTCAAACCCTTGGGTAGCTGCATGCTAGTTTTTGTGTGCCTGATAGTGTCTGAGGGATTTGGGGTACATAGGGCAGAATGGAGGAATGGTACTTGGGTTCTAAGCAGTGATAGAAGTTTTGTGTAATGTTCAAAACTGCAGATAAGAATGAATTTTTTTCTCATTGGGATTAACCTTCAGCCTTATTTCATCCTCTGGAACATTAAATCTAAGAGCTAACAGAGAAGAAGAACAGCGAAAGAGTTGAAGATGTTTGGTAAGATCCAAATAGGGACATGGCGGGATAGTTCTAGATGAGGAAGAGAGCTAATTGTGACACTGTACAGTTGCCAGCACTTGAGATGCCAATAGGATGCCTTTGCCCCTAGTGAAATGGATCTCTTTGGGAACAAGGTAACACAGAGGATTGGGAAATGCTTTACTTCCTTGCTAACTGTTGTCACAATGTTCCTTTGACTCCTGGAACTAAACGATTGGAAAATGAGAAGTGATTATTCTATGTCAATGCATGAGGATGATAAAATATGAGGAGGAATCAAACAAATGGAAAAAGTGGCTCAGGAAGTGGAGAAGAATGCAAGGCCACCAATGCCTTTCCTCAGGATACCCTGTGTATTGGTCATTGCCTAGAGTTCCTTCCACTAAGAACTATTTACTCTTAATGCTCTCGCTTATCGATTTTTCTTCCAGTCTCATCACCTGAGCTCTGAGGCTGTTAATATCTGCAGAGCATCGCCTTGGCTGCGCCATTGAATGCTTTCCTCACTGGATCAACACCTTTGGACTGTGTTTCCCATGAACCTCAAAGCTCGAGACTGGACGGTGACTGCCTTCCTCCCAATGTGGACTTAGTGCATCTCTCCTGGGTAGGGAAAGCCATACACCTGTCTCTCCATGGTGAGCAGAGGAGGTATCTCTGCTTCACAGTTGCTCTCTCCAGAATCTTCGCGAAATGAACAAACTACAGAATGGGGCCACTTCTGGCCTGAATCTCTTTTCTTTTCCTATTGTGTGATTTGGGGGCCTCCTTTCTGTCTTTCTTTTCAAATTTCCATAAATGCTGTTTTCTAAATATCCAGATCCAGGCTTCTTAGCTCACTCTCCAAGGTGGCTCACTCTTCCACCAATTTAACCACAATAGTAGATTCAGAAATAAATGCAGAGGAGCTGAATCGCTCTTTAGTCATTTAGCTGGAGTTTCTGATGTTATGAACGGAAAATTTTATGTCTAGGAACAAAAGGGCAAAGATACATGGATATATTGACAGAGTGGGTCCAGTTCACAATTAATGTTTCACGTTCACAAATGATTGAGTTTTCATGAAAATGTAAAGGAGCTATTGGTATTACTTATAACATTACATATGTTACATAACATTATGCACCCTCAGAAACCAGGTCTTATAATTACAACAAGACAAAACATTAAGATGACCTCTTCCTTATATCAAGATCTTGGGTTATTAAAAATCACTGTATGTTTAAAGTGAATTTACCACTTTGCATGAAGGAATATTTAAAAGTAGAATAAGAAGGTGGATACATGCTAAAGCCATCAAACTTATTAGAAAATTGGGTGCCAATAGCTAGTTCTGAAGCTCATTAAAACAAATGCAAGACTTGGAATGTTTCCTTAGATTATTTTTTGGCAGAAATTACACCTCCACATTGCAAGTTTAATGATTCTATGCTTGTGATTCAAACTGGAGTAATTGTTTTTCCATTGAACATAATAAATGCATGTGGCATCCACAGTATTCAGTACTTCTCTGTGATGTCGAATTTTTGGGTGTTCTAATCTTTCTTTATTTTTATTTTTTGGTACTGGGAATTGAACTCAGAATCTTGTGCTTGCCAGGCAGGCATTGCACTGTGCTGAGTGCTTTAAAATAACATCTCCTGGGGCTGGAGATGTGGCTGGGGAATAATTTCTACTTTATGGATCCCATTATATATACAAGAAAATGCAAATGGGAAAATTGGTGGCAAGATCCCAGTAAAAATTGAAATGCTTATATAACCTAAGCCCAGGTTAGTCAAGTTGGAACACTCTCATTGGATCATTTGCAGGGTGGGTTCATGAAGTCAGAAGAACTACACCTTGTCTCCCTCTACTTTTTATCATTTGGGCCTTTCTGTGGATGCTATGAATTTATAGGACTTTTCATTCCCATTTAATCCACCCAAAATTAAAAAGAAATATCTTCTTCTCAAAGGGTATTGTGCAATATGCCATTGGTTAGTGATTTGTCTGTCTTCTTTCTTTAATGTACCAGTTCACTTACTTATTAGAGTATTTTCCCCATTGCAATAAAACCCCCTCACCTCCCCCCAAACAAAAAACAAACCCAAATCAGATAGAGGCAAAATCAAATTGAAATACTTCATGGGAAATATGCACCCTTCTGGACTCTCCTCATCCTAGCAGGGACTCCAGAGGGGAATAAATAGTCTTCTGCAGACTCAGGTGCTAGCCAGTTGGCTCTGGGTGGCTGGACACTCAAGGACAACCTGGTTTTGTGTCTCCAAACACTCACAGGGTATTTACTCTTGATTTTGTTTCCCAGGACATCAAATAGGAATCTGTTTTAAATAGCAATTTTCTTTCAACCTTGGCCTCTGAAATCTTGCAGAATATTGAAAACCTGTTAAAACATAAACATATGTCATGCAGAGAGAGGGGTAGTCAAAGAAATCAGGATAGCAAAGTCAAAGATGCAAATTAAAACCTGGCAAGAATCAATTAAATAGGCACCAAAGGTCTGTTTAAATGATTAGAGACAGAAGTGCATCTTGAGATGAATAAATTACAGCAATGTGTGAGGAAAGAAATGAAGATCTAGGAGGTATGTGAAGAGGACGACACGTGTGTAGATGTGAGAGGAGATTTAATGTAGGTGATATGCGCTTGGTCTCAGGTTTTGCTTATTAGAGTAAATATGCAAAAATGTCACGATAACCCGAGGGAAATTGTACAAAGTAGGAATGCAACGGTGAATTCCTACAGCTAGAAAAATAACAACAGGAGCATGGGCACATTCTCCACAAAGCTATTGACGATGAGTGCCTCCAGGGTCTTTTTGTTCTTCCCTGCACCCAGCACAGGGTGTTGTAAAGTGCACTCATGACAGATTGAATCCCTCAGTCTCCTCAGCAACTCAGATTTGGTCACTAGGTAATGATCACTATATGTGTTTCCTTAGTGTTTTCATGTATGTCATAGAATCCCAAAACCCAGGCCAGAGTAACAAGCATGATGGCAATGTCAGGTTTCCAAAGGAAGAAACCAACAAGGGAGAGACAAAGATATCAAGTTTCATCCAAAGCCAAGAGTTGCCCCAGGCTGCCATGTGCATTTTGGCCAGTTGGGCTGGTTGTGCAGTGGCCAGGGTTTCAGGTGACAAGAACGAATGGGAGCAGAGATGTAGACCTTACTGGGGACACCAAAGTTGTGTGCCTGGAAGAAGGGAGCCACTTATCAGATTTTCAGGAGAGAGTTAAAGGGAACCCTGAGCCTAACGTGGTCTCTTGACATTCTCCCTCCATTCTGATGTTGTACCCCAAGGTAATTCTCTTCCTTTTCTCCTATCCAAGTCAAAATCTTCTCCTTATCTCACATCCACCAGCCTGAAAACACTGAAGTGCTCACTTACCTATCTCTTGGAATTATTTCCCAGTTTTTTCAATTTAAAAAAAGAAAAGAAAAAAGATAGAAAAGATACAGAATTTTAAACAAATAGGAAATTAGGACTAGTTAATATATTACATATTGTTATCTCAAAAATAGTTGTTCAGCTTACAAGATTTAGGCATAAAAATAATCAAACAATCAAACAATGAAAGCGCAGACTGTTCTTGTTCATGAACTTACAGAGATTAGTAGTATAGCTATCTATTTTTTTTTCTATATGATAATCCTTTGTATGGTTCCTCACAGTTTTCAAAGGACTTTTTCATGCATATCATTAAAACAAGGTTATGCATCAACAACTGCTTTCAGCCACCAGAAAAATGGAGATCATCTCTAAGATGATCTGTGCTAGGAGGCAAAGCCTAAATTTGAACCCAGATTTAGAAATATGGTTTTGGGCTCAAAATTACCTGGAACCCACCTTTTCTTTCTCAACTTCAGTAATGGTCCGGGTTTCTCTGCAAGTACTCAAACATTTTTTCTCTTTCAATGAAATCATCCATGACTTAATTAGATAAGGGATAATAACACCAAAATTTCATGACTGTCTACTGAGGCTTGGGCCAAGACAAGTAAGACTAAGACTTTGGTTTTAGCTTCAACTTCTTTTATTAACTTTCCAATTGGATGCTGAGTTTCCAAGGGCTCTGTCACCTTTATCCTTCCCTTCTGACATAAGCTGAGAAGACAGCCAGGGGGGCCCATCCCCATATTTTCCCCCAGAAGACGCTGACCCAATTCAAGAATAGTTTCTGAAA